CAGCACAATCCTTCTCCTTCTCCCTCGATCAACTCCTCCCTCTCTTCTCTAATTTATAGAGAAGAGCCCTCCATCAGTTTCTTCGACTCCTCTTTCATCATCATCAGTTGACGATGTCGACTGCAATCAAAAGACTAAACGATATCAGCGCTCCTTCCTCTTAGACAATCTCCTCTCATTCAAAGACTCTTCTATTTGTATGGTTCAAAAGGAGTGAGTGAATCAGGAATATCTCACGAGGAGTCAGTATTTTCACATTCCAACACATTTCCTTGCTCAATCGCATGATTCGGTCCCTCCAATTGCTCCCGCATCTATAGTTTTGCCACTCGACTCACTTGCTTTGTTCTCCGCTTCACCTGCTATTTGATTAGGGCATAATCAATTGAACCAACCAAGCACGGTTATTACACAAGCACATGTCCTTTAATGAGTGATTTTTTATCAGATAGGAATCATTAAACTAGGATCACGACTAGAGCTCGTATGTTCTCCCAACATCTAAAACTTTTGAGTAATGAATCATATGGTATATTTAATATGGCCCAAAGCTCCCTATTAGCTAAAGACAACTTGAATTGTCCTCTTACACAAATATCCACCCACAAGATACCCTTGGATGAAACAACCCATGACTATCGACAAAACTTTTTTGATCAAATTGGGGCGGCTACTTCCTTTAACTAGGTAGACTAGGGACCCTGACTATAAGATCTTAATTGAGTTCATCATCATTTCTCCCACCATCAACTTTGAATGCAGTGTGGTAAATTTCTAATCTTAAATGTCAAATTTGTTGCTACAATACACTAAGTTTTTTGTGTTTACCTAACGACTAGCCTTAATCAAAATTGCTCTCCTATCATCAAGAGAGGTAATTACCAATATAAGCTTGCACCAATGGGAAACATGAACTTAGACCTTAAAATCATCAATGAAATGAGGGAAAAATAAATGAGTAGCATTTATCTTCAATTTAATTTACCTTCTAAAATTTTGAACTGAAACATCCATTAAAACTCTCCTTAAATACAGACAGGCAAGGATGCAAATTTTCAAAGCTCACAAGCTAAAGGCGGTAAACTTGTAAATCGTAGAGACAAATTAATGCTAGTATATATATGCTAAACACTAAGTTTCTATCAGTTAGCCATAATAATAAAATCTCTCTCATCTTTCGGAGAGAATTATATAAAGGGGCTTACACTTATGAGAAACCAAGAACAATACCATAAAATCCTTGTAAAATAAAAGTGAAATTTTCAGGTAGTGTTTTATCTTACGATCTAATTCATCTTATGAAAATTTGACCTGAAAATAAACTCTCTCGAAAGAGCCAGGCATGAATTTCTAGAGCCTACAATGATGGTGTTTCAAAATTTAGAGTTATAATTCTCCACAATCAATAGTTAAATTTGTAATGATAATAACAAGAAATGCCATCAATTTGTTGAACTTAAATATAATTCTTGTGTGATGATCTATTTTTCTTTTTCCTCTCTGTGTTTGCATAGGTTTCACCTCTCCCAACACTTGTGACACCTCGGGTCCAAAAAGGGTGGCCCAAAGAGAGAATTGAGAGATCTTTGAGGTTAAGTTCTAGACAAAAAGAGGCTTCAAATAGACTTGTGTAATAGGTGAAATCAATTTGAAAAATTCACAATTAAGCCTAAGTGTACTGAGCACATACGAGCTCTAGTCGCAAAGGGTAAAACAGTAAAATTTAGCCTGGGATGAAACTAGCTAGACCAAAACGGGCAAAATCTCACATATTATGGGTTTGCTCATCACAACAATCAAATGATTTAAGATGCATAAGTTGATAGAACTCTCAATTAGATTAAAACTAGACATGGATCATGATTTTAAATGTGCAAACTTAAAGATTAATTCATACAAGCGTATTTATTTCATCTTGTGATTCTGCCAGGAAAAGAGAGTGAGAGCAACTTGTTTGGTCAGGATTACCAAAACAATACAAAACCATAATAAATTTCTGCATTACCAATGAGCTATAGCTAAAATGATATGGTAACTGATTCCAAAGTAGAGGATGCAAGTTTGAGTCCTGATTGCACCACCATTGCTTTAAGATAAATATTTTCTAGCTTCTACGTGGCCTTTTGTCTGTAACTAACATTGTGCCCTATTTTCAATTTAAAAAATTAGAATATATTTATATCCTCTCTCTCTCAATTGAGAAAAATAAATAAATGTTAGTAGTTACAAACAAGCCTTCAAATGGACAATCAAGAAAGATTTCTTACAGTTAGTCCCGCACATTCATCATTGACACAAACTGTTTCATTGAGCGCCTCTGCTACTCCCTTACCATCATCATGAAGCAACCTCCTACATGAATAGTGAAGGTTTAGCAAAGTTATTGACCAATAAAATAGTAATATAAGAGTCGAGAGGACAGCACTTAATATTTAGTGGGAAGGCCTGAACTGTAACGGTTGTGCTTTAAAACAAACTGATGGAATGGTTTTGGTAAACTTATTACTCCCAATATTACACATAACCAATGTAAACATTTCAGCAAAATAAACAATGTAGTCTGGAACAGAGACACAAATAGGTTAGATCAGAGATAGATAACGACAAGGTTTTTTAGTTTAAAAACAGCAAAAATTGCAAGCGTCGCAAGTGGAGCAATTGGTAGAACAGTCGAGCAATTATCCAGCTACCTATGTCCAATGCAGCAAGGAAACATATGCAATTCACACGTCATGAAAGCAATAGACTTCGGCTTAACAGATGACAAAATTTGAGCTTCAATACAGAATCTGGAAGTCCTAGTTTACATGATAAACGGGGCAGAATGTACCTATGAAGCATCAATTCTACTTGCCCATCCTGTATGCTAGAACCACCCATACTTCGGTCTACCAAGAGGGAGAGTTCTGTGCGGTTATCTTGCAAGTAAATCCCAAGGTTTATCTACAGAGAAATTAATTTACATAAACAAAAGCAAGTGGTATCTCTTGTTTACATGTTAACATTAGTGGCTAGAAATTACATGACAGCCTAACTGCATATCTGCCTTAGGGCATAAAAAATGGACATAAACAATAGTAGCTGGTTTGTTGGAAGAATGATGTCAACTGCTTTGAAAGCATAATAATGCTGAAGTGTAAAGCTCCCTCCTTCCCTTACTCTCTCATTCTTTCTCTTTTTCTTTTTTATTTCTTTACAGTACAACGCATGAAATATAGCAGCTCTTAAATTAGTAAATTGCACACATTTGTAAATTATTATGCTTTTAAAGCAAAAATACGCATCAGCACTAAGACAAATCAAGTAAATAATGAAATAAAACTTAAGCATGAGCAGGTCACACTACATGAAGGAAATGAAAAAAAGAACTGGAAGCCAATACAAAATAGTCAAGATAAATGCCAAAGAGAAAAATGAAGAATGAAACAATAAAGGAAGAATGAAACAATAATAATTGATGCTAAATCTAAAATAAATCTCAATGCAAGTGTGAAAAATAAGGAAAAAGAAAAAGAATACAAACCCAAAATAATTAATTAAAACTAAAATACCTATCCACCGAAGAAATTAAATAACCAAAGAGTAGGTTGTAAAACTAAAGAACATGGTTGGAATGCATTGAGTTTAAAGAGATTACCAATAAAAAAAGAGCAGGGTGTAACTAAAGCACAAGTTTGGAGTGCTTTGTGATTTAAGAGAGAAGCACATGGTTTGCTTCTTTAGAATTCTCTTCTTTTCTGACCTCAGAATCCGGTGTTTCAAATTGGATTTAAATTGCCGATATCAATGAGTGTTTACAGTCATTAGGGTATAAATAAAAACTTACAGGATAATAATTTCCAGCAACAGGTTGGTGTACTTGCAGTACCCAGTCTGACCTATAATTTCGAATCTGTAAAAGCAAAAAAAAAAGGTTATGAATTAAATAGGAAGCTGTAAAACACAATGCAAATAAAAAAATTGAACCGTTCTACCAGAAACTGGAATTGTTCATGTGTAGTATAGAACTGCAATAAATGATTATAAACTGCAAGTGAAATCATGAATTTTACCCTCTTTAAGAAATCTCGCCCATTTGAATCTGTGTAAAATATCTTATTGGTCCGCATTCTCGTAGTAAATTGGGCGGCTAATTCTTTCCCATTTCCATCTTCAATGGGCATCGGACCAACCTGAATTGTAGTGCTTCATACTATTAACAGATTCATAACATGAAA